GCCTCAGAGTTCTCCAGGAAAGGGAGAGCTCTCAGGTGTGCCCTATGCTGCATGCTCTACCTCATGTTGCAGACGCTGGAACCCTGTGTACCCCTTCAGAGATGCAAGGAGCTCAGAAGGGGTGTTTGAAAGAAAGCAGAGAAGTTTTGAACACTACCTAGCAGGCAGCAGTCCAAAGGTACTCATTCAAAATTGAATTGTATCTGTGGAAATTTCCAGTTTGACAAATTGGTAAATGCTGATGAGGAACTTTTTCATCCGACTTTTCTGACCATCTCCATTTCTCAACCCGTGATTGATTTAGACTTCAGCCATTGTAAATTCTCTGCCAAGCAACCTACTTCAGCTGAGCCATCTCTTCTAATGAGGAACAAGTCAGCAGGACTTTGGACCATCAGAAAGGGTATCCTAGCAGCAGAAGAGCTGGCATAATGAAATGGATAAAGGCACTGATACTAACTCTAAGCTCTGAACTCCTAATCTTTGATAAGTCAATGATGTTGACATTTTCCAGTGTGGATACTTAATGTTGGAGAGCTGAAGACAGATTTGGTAAACACCTGTACTTCACATTACTTATCTTCATTTAATCCTTCTGCCTCAACTTCCAAAGTACAGAAAAATGAAGGTAATAAAATTATTATCTTCAGAGAGAGGTTATTATAATTAATGGTTGTAAAATCCTAAATATAATTAAAGCACACGGTAAACCTTCCAGCTAAGGAGAGATAGGCATCTATAAATCTGTGATTTGGTATAGCTATTGCTTTTTCTTTTGAATTTTTTTTTTTTTTTGTATTGATATCATGAGAGTTCAAGTAAAGAAAGGGAATCAGAAGAAACCAATGCTTGAGAACCATGTGAAACATGATCTTAGTAGTTGTTGCTTTTACAGCTATTGTAGGATGTGTTTTTCTTCCTCTCTTTATTCTTAACTTTCTTGACTCTTTTTGTCAGTTTACTTTTGGCTTCTAACTTCTGAGAAACTGGCATGAGCCAAGTCAGATAAAGCTTCTCTTTTAACATTTCTGACCAAGTCAAGTTAGAAATGATGCTATAATAGCATTTTCTGAATTTCAGAGCACTTCATGTGATGATGGAATCTACATGTCGTATTCTTTGCCCAAGACCTTTTCCCCTAAAAGAAGCATCAGAAATAGAAACTATATGCTTACCCTTTCCTGTTCCTCTTTCTTTGTTTAACCTTCAAAGGCAGTGATTCAGGATAACTTAAGAGCTCACAAATATAAATTAGTCAGCCACTCTTCCTCCCAACAGAGGGTTCTTCTTTAAAAACTAGCCTGTTTTTCAGAAGCACTAGGCCTCCATTGATTTAATCACTTTTGGAAATAAGGCCTTAGTATTATGTGTTTACATGTCAATTAAAGAAAAAGATTTTATAATTCTAGTGGAAAGTCCTTAATTTTTCTCAAAAAAATCGACTCTGAATTTGCACATGAACACATGTTGCATCAAATATTTTTTAGCTGAATACATTCCTTTGGCTTTACCATAAGCACTGATGATCCAGAACTTTGAATTTCCAGTGGGTTAAGAGTGATGACTTGTGCTGTTCTTGACAGAATGTGAGTTATAAAAAGCCTTTAATTGTGGTGCCTGCTGGATGAATTCTGATTAGAGAGTTCATCTGAAACTGTACTTTGTGCCTATGAATTGTTTTCATTAAGTTATTAGCAGGACAAAGTAGTATGTTTTAATACAGACTTGATTTGATGAGCATGTATTCTTTCAAAGCAATAACTACAATATTGGTTGTAAAAAAGGAGGATTCACTTTTTCTTTTCATAGACCCTGATTCTGAAACCCTGAGTTCAAATTTGTAATTCAGAGAATCTTTATTTTAACACTATTTAAAGTAGCAAAGAAGAAACAGACACTAGGATCAGGCTGCTAACACTAACATATGGTGGTAGCAGTAGTTCAAGATTTATTACGTTTCAGCTGCTTTTGTCTTTAAGGACCAGTTTTCTTGTATGTAGGGTATGAATAGAAATTTATAAAATACACAAAGTTTTGAGAGAAAATAGGAGGCAGAAATAAAAATCTGCCAGTTCCTCTTTTGTGTAATTTCCTCTTTTTTTTTTTTTTTTTTCCCTGTCTTCCTTTGTTCTGTTTTCACATCCTTCCTTTCCCCTCAGTCTTCTCATCTCTTGTAACTTTTCAGCTTCCTTTGTTCTTTCCATACCCTCTTTCAAGATGTTCTACCTACTCCCTTCACTCTCTGCTGTGAGGTGACTCTTGCCTGAGGAGAAGCAACCTGGTGAAGTGAGTGCTTGTCATCAGGATGAACCCTTGCTTTGAGGGAGAGCAACTGGTTGTGTTAAAACTCACTGCTGCCACCAATGCCTGGAGCTGTGCTGGTTTAAGGCAGTTTTGGCAAAAAAAAAAAAAGAAATAAAGGTGCATGATTAATTTACATCCATTCCCATTCCTGAAGCTATCAGGGATGAATTTGCCCCATGACTTTTTATATACATTTAAGTGCTTATCTTAATTGTGACAGCCTGAAATTAAGCTCTTGCAGCTGAGGATCTGTAGATAGCAATAAAACCTCTTCTTCTTCCCATCCATCCCCCCTCCACTCCCCAAGTCTTGATTCTTCATGCCAAGGATTTGAAATGATTTGAAGTGTGTAATGCACACCAAGGGGAACCTACAAACTGCTCTAAGAGCATTTATCAATATGTTGCAGTCAACTTGTTTGTTCTCAGCTTTGTCTTCTCATTTCTGATGGGATGGATCCAGAAGTATATAGAAATAAAGTGAAACTGCAGGCAAGCCTGAAGATCCCATGTCTTTTAGTTTACTATATGCAAATTGTAAAGTCATTCCCATGTGCCAAATAATATGTCAGATGCAAACAATTAATAACAATAGGGTGAGGCTGCAAGATGACCACACTTCCAACCATCTGGGGGGGGGTGTGTGTGTGCAGGTTAAGATTTGCCAAGTGACTTTGTTGCCTATAGGAGGATTCCTTCAGATTATATCAGTATAATTGAAATTAGCCTTTGTTCTCTGCTGTTGGGATACTTGATTTTCAGTCATATTTTTGTAAAAACAGTGTTTCTCATGGAATTGTAATTAAGATTTTGTGTTGTCATTATAGTACAAGCCAAATCTCACAGTAACAGGCCAAATTTCACAGTTAGTCCCTGAAGCACTGTTTTACCCCCTGAAGAGTATCTCTCCTGTCACTTTTCTGTCTCATCTCAGTCTGTGCCAGGTAACCATTTGGAGAGAATAATCTTTTTTTTCTGGAGAGTCTCCCACAGGCAACATGCAGTCACTAGTCTTCTGAACTGTACCTGTGGTTTCTGTATGATATTTGAGACAGATCCGTACTTCATCCTTGTTGAAAACCAAGAACAGTGCAGACTCAGCACCTCTTGTCCACTGACTTAAAATTAGTTTGTAAGATGTTTGGAGTAGAAATCAAGTCACCTTGTGTATGGATGTTGCATATCGAATTACAGAAGTCTATCACACAAATAAACATCTCTTAGGACATGGAGGTGAAGTATGCTTTTGAACTTTCAGAGTGATACATAGTAAGAGTCAGCCTTTATTTATTTGCTTAAAAAGAGACAATCCTGGAGAGAAGATTCTTTCAGGTAAGAAAGGCTTTGCAAATTCCTGTATTCTAATAAGCAATTGTCTACTGTTTGGCTGGAGAAGGAAATTCAAGTTTCCTTAAAGATGAGAGTGGAGGAATACCTCCCCGTGCTCCAGAAGTTTTCTGAAAGTACTGTGTCACACCATCTCTGTTTTGCCTGCAGCTACACCCCTTTGAAAATACATTGCTCCCCATGCAGCTGTTCATGGACGTGTCTTGCGTTTTCCTGGTGGCTGGTAGAGCATCTGCTGTGATGAATGAAGGCTGCTGATCCTCCCAATAGAGGGCAGCGATTATACTGTTGGCCTCAATATAGTTAAAAGTAAAATCTGCCTATGCCACATATTTGTCAAAAGGTAGCTTTTAGTAACATAGAAACTATTAAATACTTATATTAAATGATGATTAAATATGGAAATCATAATATAGCAGCAGGATCACTCATACAACAGGCAGCTATATTTTTAGGAATGGGGAATTCTGGGGTGAGTCAAATTGCAGCTAGTTATATTCAAATATTTCTTTCTAGCCAGCAACTGGCTTTAAGGCAGATAATTCCTTGTGTTGACTGTCTTGAATGCAGACAGTAATTGGCAACTGCTGTAAGAAATTTCCTGCAAGTGTGTGCTATCCCTCTTAGTGAATATCATTCCATTTTGAGCCTAATTGAAAACTGAAGATAGAAAACTCAGCAATTATTTTTCCTGGCAGTACAATATTTAATATTCTGATTTCATGGCTGTCTGACTACAATGATTAGGAAGAACATTTTCTTATAGTATTTACAGTACCACAACAATGTATCAGGAGCAACGTGTATCAAAGGGAAGGAACTATTATGTTAAAATATGTGCCACTTAAAAACATACCCAATTAAAAAGTAGGGTGCTGTCGAGTGTTACATGTGGTCTAGTCAGTAATTGCTTTGTAAGCTTTTTCTTGTCCTTGGCTTTGAAAAAGCTATTCAGGATGAAGAAACAGCCTTGAACTAGAAAGGCTTCAATAGGAATGATCTGCAACGACAAAGAAACACCTCTGTGACAAAGACATTTTATATTTAGAACTGTACTGCCATGTCAAGTCCAGGGCAGTGTGGTTATTTCTGCTGGTGGAGAAACAGGAAATATGTGTGGTAGTTGCTGACAGTTGTGCAGTCCTTTAACTAAAAGAAACTATACTCAATGGGATAAATCTCATCCCATAACCTCTGTGTTAAGTAGGGTAGAAACCCCCAGTATTTACAACAGGATGCTGGTTAGGAGTAAACAAGAACAGAAACTTGTTCAAAATGTCCCATAGTTTTGCATAGAGTTTGAAGAAGTACTATAAATTTAAAATGTTTGTTTTTTTCTTTTTACATCAGATAGTATTACTGAAGTCTTCACTAACATCTATGTGACCAGTTTTGGACCTGTTTCAGATACTGATATGGTGAGTTTCTGAATCTTTTGGATATATGGTAAATGGTGTAAGATATATACTATTAACCTCCTTTAAACTTCAATTCTGCTTTTAATTATTGTGGACAAACTGGGAATAATTTCACTGAAGTCAGGAAGTGCCAAATCTCAGTAGTTCTAAAGATAGAAATTCGTTTATAGACCTTACATCATAAGTACACTTCCATTGTCTGTTTAGTTTGGACCAGCAAATCTTCTGTTTGTTCCCACTGGCTGTACTTTGGTTCATATGCTGGAGCAGTCTTGAGATTGGTGAACTGGATTCCTCTTGAATGAAACTAGAATGAAAGGTACACAGTATTAGTCTGAGGGACATGACTGGGGTCAGTCTAAACTGAACTTGAAAGATGTAGCTTGGAAGTTGGGTCATTAACATGATTGATTGTTCTATAGATCTGTCCTTCATAATTTGCACTATTTAGTAACCATTTAAATGAAGTCAGTGACATGAAAAAGAAAGAAACTGTCAGAATATTTATCTGGATTCCAGTTTTTCATGAAACATCAATGGAAAACACTCTGAGACCAGTAGTCCTTCGTAGGCTCACTGCAAATCATATATAGATCAGGGAAAACGTGTTGCACCTGGGAGAAAGATCTTCATGGATATAACATCTCTAAAAGGAAAGAAGGGAAGGATAATCTGAAAGTTACTTTATCTGCCCTTGCCATTACTGAAAGAAATTTTTTCCTGCATGAAATTATTTTTTTAAGTGTTTTGAACATTCATGTTTATATATGAGACATATAAAGTACTACCTATGTGTATCTGTAGGTATTAAAAAATGATTATTTTTAGAACCAGGTAATATTTACTTTTTCTATGAAAACTTTCAGGTTATGCATCATACAAAAGAGGAAACATCTTGATGTTACAATCTAGGTTATAGCAAATCTAAATATTTCATGGTACGGTGTACATTTTAAAAATTATTTGCTCACTGACTAACAGGTAGTCATAGCTTTGGAGAATATATTCTGGGGTTTTGTGTTTGCTTTTTGTGTGTGATAGTTGCAGTTTTCAAGCTTTGTATCACTGAGGCTTTACATGAAAATTAATTTCATAGGAAAAATAGACATTTATTCTCTTTTTTCACTATATGTTACTGATTCTCTGGAGATGTTTTTTCCTAATGATGTTAAGTTTCTGAAATTATTCTTATTTTACTGCTAAATATAAACCCCAAGTATCTACAGCTATATACAAAGGGCATGTGAACATCTTGATCTTGTTAGTCTAGTATCTCATGACTTCACAGTGTTTACACTTATGGTATTTGTGTGAAATGAGATTTATTAACCCAATTTTAAAACTGTGGTACTGAGGCACAATAAGACTTACTGAAGGCTGTGCAAGTTATTTGGCTTAAATGAGAATTTAATTAAAACCTCTCTGAGCCTAATCCCTAGCTCCTGAAACACTTTTGACATCAGGGTGTAAATCTGTGGAGAATTCTGGGTGTCCATTTGCACAGACGGATATGACAGCACAGTAAGGGGCCAGGTCCTTTGATGCTACAGCTATAACAACCCTGTGCAGAGGTGTAAGTCGAAACAGAATGCTGTGCATCAGAACAGCAGCTGTTACTGTAATGGGTAGGTCTACTTGCAGATAAGTAGATATGTAAGAGCAGTTTAATATTTGCGACTACAAGTTTCAGGGTTAATTTAGCTTGTTCAGTTGATAATTATAAAAACAGTTTGAAACGTACGAGCAGTCAATTAGAAAATTTCAACATGTGAGTTTTGAAATAATGGCTTTCAAACTATCATATATTCTGTCAAAAATGAAGATGACATTAGAGTTTTTACCATGAGTACTCTTTCATTTAGGCATTGCTTTAGTGAATTGACAATGTAAACTACCATACAGAGGGTTTACTAATATTTTCTTCTGTAAATGTTGGAAGCTCTGGAATATTCTCATTTTAAAGTGTCCTCCTTAAAAGGCTTCATTGGAAGAATTTGACTCTTGCCCATGTCCTCTTAAATCTCCAGAGGACTCAAAACTGAATCTCATACCTTTTCAGGAAGGTTGGGTCCCAGCCACTGAGGTCCTCTGCTTTCACAGACTGAGTGGTGAGGCCCTCGATTGCATCAGGTTTTTATGCTGGACACTGCTGTTTCCCAAAACTCTTATATTCATTCCTGCCAATAGGATTCTTTCCCCTGGGATTTTTCATAGCCATGAAAGTAAACAGATGTATGCCTTCACCCCTTTGCATTATCTATTTGACAGTTTGGGCTTTTTTCCCCTTGGTTAGCATCTTGGGAAGAGTAACAGTGCTTAGGAGAAAAGTCTGTTGAAAATAGGAAGGGGACTCACTGCCATGGGAGATGATCAATACGTATTTATAGTATGGAAGAAGGAGGTGGCACGCTAAAAATGATGGGTGGATTAGAGCTAAGGACACAGTTGTTGCATAGTGATGATTCATAAAGTTAATAAAATGTCATTCCAACCTTTGCTGTTGTTGAATTGATAGCAATTCATAAGGTTTCTGTTGTCCTTACTGAGTATAGTAGTTCCCATTAACGATAATACAGTATTGTGTGCAATCTGTGACTCAGTATGATTGCTAGAATGTAGGTTTTTATTCATAATCCCTGTATTTTTCCAGTATCACAATTTTGCCCAAAAGTAACGAAGTCCAGGGGAATTTGACCTCTCTCTGATTTTAGGCTTGTTGGAAGTTTTCATTGATAAATTTTGGAGGAAAAGCTGAGGCTGAAATTTTTCTCCAGATGGAGAAAACCTTTTGATCTTTGCTGTGCATTAACATTTTGACTAAGTTAAAAAGATGCTACTCTCTGTTGTGTTGAAAATAGTCATCTGTTGACTCTTGGCCAGAACTCTCTTGCAAACTGCACTTCAAATGAACTGCTGTGACTAAAATATTAGTGTATCTATACTAGCTGTCATAAAATGCTATTTTATGTCAACCACAGTATTTAATGTCAAAGGAAATGCCAATATACGACAGGAATTTTCAACCATTTTGCAAACTACTAAGAATCAAGGAAAGCAACCCAAAATACGTGATTAAACAGATTTTACTTTTACTGTTCTGTCTTTCTGAACTGTTATTTCTCTGAAATGTTTAAGTTCAGTATTATGATGCTATGCCTTATAGGCTTCCAACCAGATTAGTGATACAAATTTATTTTGACATTAGCCTGAGAGAAGAAAAGCTGCATTGTTTAGAAAAACAAACCAAAAATTGAAGAGAACAATTGAAAAACAAAGCATATCTGAATTTTCTATAGCATTAAAAAGCTAAATTATTATTAAAGAGACTAATTAAAACATTTGCAATTACATTAAAATATTTAATATTTGAAAATTCTGAGGTCAAGAATAATTTTGGCTGGATTATGATTTGTAGGATAACAAAATGGAAATAATTTAATTTAAACATTAAACCTGATTATTTCTCTGTTTTTTCAAAATCACTTATTTGAAGTCTGGTAGATTTATGTATCTTTATCAATATACATGCTGCTAACTGATTTTAGCACTGCAAGCAAGGTACTTTTACAGTTTTTTTCTCAGACTTTCTTTCCAGGCTCTCCTGACACTTTGACTTCTAAAAATTCCCAGATACCCATAAGTGCTGATAGAAGTCCTTGATAGAAAAAAAAAAAAAAAAAAAATCAATGAGAAACATATTTACTCCTCAAGCAATATTTGTTGTACGTAAGACAGAGCATATAAGGCACTGAGAGCCTTTACAGCCTTCTGCTGTGAAGAAAGCTTTGCCAAGATTTTGCCAAAGTCGTTGGAAATAGTTGTCCCTGCTTTCCTACAACATGTAATTAGTAGGTGGCAGGACCTGATTCAGTTTTGCTTGAATATTAAAGCTAACAAGTTTTCTGAAAGTTTTGTGTTTCAGCTTTCAACCTTAGCATTTTACTGTCTTTGGAGACTTTTATTTACTACGGTTACATTTTTGTTTTCCCCTATTTGTTTGTACACAAAAATGTTTCCTCATTTCTTGATAGACCTCTATTTTTTCACTCTGGATTCAAGAAACATGAACATTTCTCTTCAGAGATGGTCATACCCAGCTTGTTCATTACTACATATACTTCCATCTTGTCAGTTCCAAATAAAACCTTCCATGTTTCCAATATTTTAAATAGATCCAGAACAGAATGTTTCAATGACAGCTGAAGGTCGGATCCAGAGGTGACCAAAAGGATTGTTACAGCATCTCTCCTTACAACTGAGAATGGTTCTTTAGAGAGAGTGGCTGAACTGGGAACTGTGTTTCACTTTTTTGGTCTGTTTTTCAGATTTACTTATTCCATTTTGTACTTCAGATTTTTTTTCTTTCCTACAAAACTTATTTTTTAGCTGTTTCAAAGTCTAATTATTGGCTCTGGTTCCTTCACTGGAGCAACGCTTTACAGAGGTTGTATGATATGTAATTCAGGACAGAATAAGGGAATGAACCAAATGATTTTCTCACAAAGATTAGAAAAAACACTGCAATTATTTTATTGTAGCTTTCATTTTAACTCAGTGTCAGAAGAGTAAAAAGTAAAAAGCAAACAGAAGAGATAAATATACTTAGTTTTCTTAGGTCTTGGGGAGCACATAGGTTATCTTTTTATCATTTACATGTTTCTGAAAAGTCAGTAAATTAGTTACTTTATTCCCTTTTGGTATAGGCTCAGGTCATTGCCTTTGCAACTTAAATCCATAGGCTGAAATTTTGAGGAGTTTATCTCACACAATCTCTTGAAGAATTTCTGTCCTTTTATTCTGTTGGAAACCTTGTTTCCCTGTGCAACATCCTGCCAAGTGGATCAATATTGGAGATTGATTTGTCAGAGGCTGTGTCCAAATCCTTTACTGACACTAGCTCTCAGTGTACCTCTTGTTTGGATTCATGTCCCTGGCACCAGGCATCCATTGTGTTTCAGGGTTGCTCTTTTCGAATGTCTGAATAAAAAATTGTTTGTATT